CGGAACATGGTCCTCCACGATGTGATCGAGGCGGCGGGCTCGGATGAGAGCGCTGCCGTCGTGCCGTTCGGGGTGGCCTATGATCTGTGCGCGCTGCTCCTGCAGTGGGGAGCCAATCCGAATTGCATCAAGGGTGGCGAGATGCCGCTGCAGAAGCTGGCCTCGGCTCATGGATTCAATGAAAAGGATCGGATGCTCCTCGCCGGATTGTTGATGGCCGGAGGAGCTTGGGAGTAGATGGAGGATGGTTCTGTGATGACGACGATGATGACGAGGCCGAGCTACGGAGCCGAGATACCGATACGGAGGGTTTGTGGCGCTCCTACAGAGTACTGTCGTTTGGGAGTTGGGGAGTCTCTTGTTTGAGAGTCAATGTTGTGCTCAAACGCTGTTTACCTACAGTTCGGCAGTTGGTATACCCCAGGAATTGCGATCATGTTTACTAGGGTCAACCTGACTGCTGTCTGTGACTATTCACGAGGGTGCGCGATGGTTATGTTTCCGTTCGCTCCCAAGACCATACGAGGTCGATTCCGAGTACTCAATGTGGCGGCATGGTTTTGGCGATTCAGCATCGCACCAGGCGGCTCAGGCAAACCCTACCAGTAGTCGACCGCTGGATCTATCTTCTGGGGTCATAGAGGCGATCATTTGAGATGATCAGCCATCACTACCCTCATGTGGGGGCACAAATTTGATGACAGGTTCACACGGCAGTCATTTCTCAATGTGTGCTCAAGGTGTGCAAGATGCATACTTCGGGTCGATTCAGATACGGCTTGCCGTCAAAGGTCACGCATCGGGAAGGATGTGAGAGTTGGTTGGTCTGTGTCTTTAAAAAGGGTGCCTCGTAAGTGTAAGGACAACAAAAAAACGTCGAAAGTCAACGATTTTCGGGGAGGTGGAATGACCTCCGCAGCGGGCTACGTCAGTTCATGTTCCACAGCATACGAAGCTGAAGTTGGTCATGATGAATGGCGTTGCCGCGTCCGAAGTCGTTGAGCAGCGGCAGCTTTCGGGAGGTGGAGCGGAGCCCTTCTGTGACGATGCATGACTAAGACGATGTTCGGATGGTACCGATGGCGGGCCACTACTAATGTGGTACGGCAAGTACGGGCACGGGTAATGAATGCGCCTACGGAGGCAGGTCAGGGGATCAGGGGTCGTCTGTGGCCGTCTTTGGGTGGTAGGTGCTGGCGCCAACGTTCGCCGGTGCATTGAATACCCAATCCCCACCCGCCGCAGATAGACATCAAGACCACATGGCTGGAAATTCGAACGAACCAGTCGATCCATCTGCAATATCCAAGATCCATGGGTTGGAATATCGGCGGCAAGCGCAGAGGAGGAGGACGACGATGAATAGTCGTCATCCTTCGCACCGCAGTAGCGGTTGATGGCACGACAACACAAGAGGAGGAGAGAACATCAGCCAGCGATCAGGCACGGTGGGTTTCAAGGCCGTGGCTGAAACCACCACTCGCCCTCGGCCGTGACACCTCACGAGACGGTTCTCGTCACAGGCCTCAATTCACAGCCCTCGCATGGCCCCATTGTCACCTCACCTGGTGCTATTTCGCGTTGTGGCTGACATCACATTCTCCCGTGGCCCGCCAGTCGCCTTCCCAGCCCTGATCCCTTCCATCCATGCTGTGCCTGGCCCTTTGAGATCTGCAACGTCAAGTGCCGCTCGGTGCTGCTGAGTGCTGCTCAGTGCAACGTGAGCTCCGCCCCCCCCCCCTTCTCCTGCCGCCTCTTCGTCTACGGTAGGGAGGCTCGCGATTCTTTTCTTCCTCTGACAACCCATCTGCCGGAACGACACCATAATTTCTCATCGCGGGCCCAATTCGCTCTCTTCCCGCCGCCTCGCCCGCGACTTTCTTTCTTTCGCTTCGATTGTCAGCTGGTCTGTCCCTTTACTCCTCCGACCTTGCGCCCTGGCGGTTTAATTCTCAAACCCCACAATCAATCAATCTCGCCCCTCCCAATTTCCGCCCTACCGAAAACGAACCACGCGCCGCGATCGATCCAGCCTGGCGCCATCGAATCGAACCAGACGACTACCTGCCTCGCCCGCTTTTTTGAGTTGGACTTGTCATTGATACACACATACAACCCACGAAGCCCACGCCGTCGGATCGTCCCGAAGGGCAGACGAACGGTGAACGACGATCGCTATTCCGCTCGTTCGACAGCTGTCCCCGTCCTCGCACGAGAGATAGCCCGATCCGTCACGATGAGGTTAACTGTCGCGGCCCTCCTCGCCACGGCCGCCTCCCTCGCCTCCGGTGCCGTCGTCATCACGCCCGTCACGCAAAATCAGGTCGTCGACAGAGTCAGCGGTGACTGCTACTTTGGCGTTGCCACGCCCCAGGGCTGCGCGTGAGTGAAGGGCCTTCCAGCTGGTGGAGGAAATCCGGACTGACGAGGTGTAGACCCCTTCGCAAGTAGGAAGTGACAACGACGAAAAATGAGATACCCCTCCTCGACCGCCGCCTTGCTCTGCCGAAAATCGAACTAGTCTTAATCAAATGGTCTTGAACAAATCCACAACACCATGCTGGCGTAACCCGCAGGCAACAGAACAACGTCGACAATAAACAGAAAATCAACCTGCCTGCGCCTAAGCCAAGGTCTGCATGGAAGAAGTCGGGAGGGACGGGAGAGAACGATACGGGGAGAGACCAAGAGAGAAGTCGTCGACGTGAGAGCGACGAGACGGGAGACACAATCTCATTTTGCATCTGCAGCGAAGTAATGACCACGACCACAAGCTTGCACGTCACGCCGGCTTGGTCTGGACTAAGCAACACCCCCCATCCCTCCTTTTCTTCTTCTTCTTCTTTCTCACACATAGACACACTCTTGGAACATATGCGCCATGCCGGCCGCAACAATTTAAATTACTGGGAAATAGCGAATGCTTGCCGAACACACGACGCTGCCCGTATTACTGCTTCCACGCGCGATCCCTCCCGTGTTGCCGTCCTGACCGCGCCTTCTGATGCCACATATGCACGCGTACATCAAACCTTTTGCTCTCTCTCTCTCTCTCTTTTTGTGTGTGTGTCCTTTTCTGTCCTTGTCAACTTCAACCTGGGCGATGCTCACCGGACCATGATCCTCTCGCCGTCTGCGTCCTCGTTTTACTCTGCCACGGCACATGATGCAATGCGATATGACGCAATGAAAAATCAAACCAAAGGCAACGGACAAAATCAAAGCCCTTCGTCACCAAGGCCATGCTTTGCCGCTCCTGCCCTTGTATCGTTTTGGCGTTCGCCCGTCTCTCCTGACCTCTCAGACGCTTTGGTTGATCCCCCGAGGGTAACCCTTACTCTGCGGGACCATTAGCGAAGTCCCCGGCCTCGCAGCTTCATCGCAGCGCAAGGTTGGGAGAACGAGAAAGCAGGACGTACAAGGCACTCATCGCACGCCGCGTGGCTACCCGGCATCCAGTTGATGGTAGGGTATGCAGCACACTGACCCGTGTTGTAGTACATGCAGGGATAGCGGTCCGACATGTCGGGCAAGCTTTGCGGGGAGGGGGGGGGGGGGGGGACTCTTGGGGGAACGAGCGTGCCCGGAACAGCCGTGTGAGATGTCTGTATATGACGTGAAGAGGTAGAGACGGAGACCCGGGGTGGGGAGGGGCCGAAGAAGTAGCGTTTTCTTGTCTCTGTGGTGACGAGGGGATGCAATGAAAAATGAAGGTAAATGCGGCCGATGAACCTGATTTCCACCTCTTCCACGGCTCACCTTTTCGAGGCACGAGAGGCAAACTCGACTTATATAGATCTTCGCCCGTCGCCCGTCGTCCGTCGACCGTCGATGGCTTCACATGTCCACCAAGAACACCTGCCAACGTCGTGGGGGAACGATCGATACGGTGTCTATTTTGAGGAGCTTTCGACGTGACAGCAACGAGTCCGGATCTCACGGGTCTCTGTCCGCGGCGAGGTGGTTGTGTGCACGCGGCGCGCCTCCGGTCGACTTGATTTGATGCACGCCGTTCTAGTCCGCAGCATGCACTGCGACCCCTCACCTCGCCCCTTCTTAGCCTTGCTTGTCCTATTCATGCCATGCACGTCGTTCTATTGTTTCCTCCTTCTCCCATGTTGTGTCACCCCAGAAAATCCGTGGCGATGCTCGCGTGGGCTGATTGAGCCGACCCTCCCACAACCGCCGTTACGTGAGTTCACAATACAGACAAGACGGGGAGTGTTCCTCGTAGGTCTCGCTCTCTCTTCCTAAGGCTGCCACGTCATCTCGCCTGTCACTCGTCCCTTACGTTCGTCGCCCACAGGACCATTTATATCGACTGCATTGCTTTCACCCCTCGACCCCCCTCCCCCTCGTGGCGCCGGTCAATCAGCCGGCCGGAGGACCCAGCTCCTGCGCCTGGGGTCGCACATAGCCCGAGGCCGAGACCCCGCCACCTTATCGGCCTAGTCAGACTGACGGTTACATCCTGTGACACGCGGTCTGGGCCGGTGTGGACGCCGGGGGGCACCATCCGGGCATTAGGAGATGGCCGATACATCATATCAAGGCTGCTGCCACCACGACGAGGCAATGGACGAGCGCTACAGGACATGCCCCCCCCCCGCCCCCCACAACGGTTGACATCCAACCGCATGTCTGTTGGCTGAGTTTCGAGAGCCCAATGCCCAATGATCACCTAGGGCAAGCACAAAGTGGCTTGCATGTTGACAGTGCCAGCTGGCTGAAAGCCCGAAACGAAAGAGTGTCAGAGAAAACATCGCGATACTCACATATTTCTCGAAGGACCTGGCATTCCCATGTTCTCATAGGAGCTTCGTCATACGCTTTCTTGCCCAGGTCTACCCTTGAGCACTCATGCAGGAAGGAAGCAGGCTTGAATAACCAACGTACAGATTTAGGGGCTATGAGGTCTGTGTCAGGTGTTGATCGTCGTGCGCGCAACTTCGTCCTCGACCAGTCGTGGATACAGGAGCAAACCCACTCTCGTGGCCCTCTCAAGAACTCTCCTCACATCGAAGGGAAAACTTGGCTCGCCGATCGGCCGTCATGACGCCCCAATGACCCTCGGGCGCCTCCACACCATTCTCACCCACGGCATTCGGCTTCCAAGGCTCGTCGAATGCCTCAAACACAAAGACGTTGTACCCCCAACCGATCATGCCGCACACCGCTTCTTGGTAATACTGCTCAGCCTGCGCCTTCCCAGGCGTCGCGTTTCCGTAGCTGCTCCCTTCGCTCGGCCATCCGGTCTCTCCCACCCAAAGCTCCGGCATCTTGCTCCCTCGTGCTCTGTCTTCCACGTGAAGGTACGCCTGCGCAATGCTGTCGAAAAAGGTCGCCGTCGCATTGCTCACAGCCTGCTTCTGCCAGTATGAAAACGCATTTACGAGGACAAGGTCCGCTGTGTTCACCACGGCGTCAGCGGTGCCGTCCTGAAACTTGTTCCAACTGTCGGCCGTGCCCACTCGAACTCCTGGTGCCGACACCCTGAAGTCATTCATCTTAGCCGCCAGTTCCGGGCCTGTAAAGTTCCTTCGATACAACGTCTCGGAACCGACGGTCACGGCGTAGATCTGCGAGGCATACGCCGTGTCGTGCTGTAGGACGGCAAGTTTGTCTACCGTGTATGACTCTTCAAGATCCGGCCTCGACTCGACTGTCAGTACCCCCACCAACCTCGACAATCTCAAAGGAAAAGCGAAGCAAGCCTACCAGATACCCAGAACGACCTGGAAGCCCTGGCTCTTGGCGGCGGGAAGAATCTCCTTTGCCGTCTTACACTGATCTGCGGCGTAGATACGGACGAGCTCGCTGCCCGACTCTTTCTCGATGGCCTGCATATCGGCCTCGTAGTCAGCCTGAAGTTTGCAGCTGCCATCTGCGCGCTTGGATCCAAGATCGAAGCCTAGAGTGCCGGCTGCGACAGCTAGGTTCGAGAGAAGGGCTGTGAAGGTGATACAGTCGATGATGAGATGCATGGCGGATGTTTATGACGCGTGTGATTCTTAGAAGCGTAGGGACAACGTATTGAATGATGACGACTTAGGAGTTCTAGGATGCTGATCGACGATATGGACATGACTTGGACGAAGGGAAATTTCCCAAGACTGTTGCCGAGTCACAGATGCTGGGGACAGACCCAATGGAAAAGACCAAAGGCAGTCACAGGCAGCCACTACGAGGCAGGAGCACTGAAGGTAGCACTTTCACCCCCACACAGAGCAGCACCTTTATGCCTGGCGGAGGCGTCCGAATCATGGAGAGTTCACCCTCTCGAGCTGTCTGGTGGTCCAGGACGTCGCACGAATAACAACAATGACAATGGATTAGACAGGAGGGACCGCAGATGCACATGTCGCATCAATTAAAAAGCCATCAGTGCAAAACAACAGCATCATGTTCTCATGGATCCTAACTAGTTGTATCCAATGCTAACACGTTTCTCAATATACCAGACATGCGGTGGAAAGCGCCCCCATCGTGCGTCAAATCCGTCTTTTGGATGCAGTTGCCCGATACAATGCATCGTCCTAACGCCAGTACACCAGAGGTCATCCCAAATGCAACTATATGCGAACTCCATTTCCCTTTTATAGAAACAAGAGACAAGAACACTACGAGAGGAACATGACGACGGCGACACCGGCCATGGCAACCCAAGCAGCAGCCGGCGTCAAGTGGCCAGCAGCGCTGTCGCCGTTAGACGAGCCGCCGTTGCTGCCGCCGCCACTGTTGCTGTTCCCACTGCTACCCGTGTTGCCCTCGCTGGCATCACACTCGCCGGTAAACTTCTGCGTCTCGTTGGCGCCAGCAGGGATCATCTGGAGGTTGGTGCCGCAGTTCACATAGGGAGCGAAGTGTAGGGCGGGCGTGTCCATGTCGAAGACGGTGTAGACCGATCGAAGAAACGAGTCGCCGAGAATATAGCTACCGTCATCGGCAGAGTCGGCACCCAGAACGCAGGTGTTTTGGCCGACGTCCCAGATGAACTCCTCGAGGGGCACCTTGACCGTATAGCCATCAAAGGTGAAGTCGATGCTGCCTTCCATGTTACATGGAACGATGTACAGGTTCACGGAAGTGTCCATGCGGCCGCCGAGGTCGCTGGCAATATCGGCAATGAGACCCGAGGGCAGGTAGCTTAGGGTGGCGCCAGTATCGAAGAAGACGGGGAGAGAAGAGTTCCTGTAGGAAGACGAGTCGGAGCCGGGGGTACTGAGGCCAACCGAGTCCATCTGAACCCAGTACCTCCTCAGGCGCTCGCCATTCTGGGGACCGAGGATGGGCATGGTGTGCAAGTCGCCGCTGAATTTCTTCGTATCGACGCCGCCGAACGAGATAACGCCGCTGCCGGTGGGCTCGTCCTTGGTGCCGAGGGCGACACCGAATGCATGAGTACGGGTCACGTTCTGGTTGACCATCTCATCGACCACGCTGGGATATTGCATGTTGATACCGTCACCAAAGCTGAGACCGAGAATGCCCATGGTCAAGTCTTGACTGTCCAGTCCGTAGCCGAAAATGACCTGGTCGAGCTTGATGTCTGTGAATTGTCAGTCCTGCGGTCTAGGGACGGCGGAGTGGCATGGGAGTTCAGCGACTTACCACTTCCCGGGATCGCGATTTGATCCGACACATACTGAAGCGCGACATCGCCCTTTCCATAACTGATGGTGTTCTGTGTCTGGGAGACGCGCGATGTGTCCGAGTCGGCGGGACGGTAGTGACCGTAGGTGTCGCAGATCTGCGCCTGGGAGGAACTGCCAGCGTTCTCGCAATTCGGGTTGACCCAGAGTTCGGAAGAGCCGGTATCGATAGCGACGCGGGCCGTCTGCGCCGGGCTTCCAAGGTCGACTACAACATGTCAGTGTCTACGAAGAAGTCGGAGGATGCTGTGACTGATGTGCCGAAGACATACGCTCAATGAGGTAGCTGGTAGATGTCACATTGATGGTCTGGACGTTGGTGTTGTCGACCTGTCGCTTGCTCCTCCTCCTCAGCTTTTCAAGAGACTGTATACGGACATCCTGATAGACGGGGAGGGACAGAGGTGCGGCATTGGTGTTCGAGGAGGCGGAGGAGGCTTTGTCGTCGCGGGCAGCGGAGAGAGCCAAGGATGTGGATGTCAGGGACAGCAGCAAGTAGTTCTGTAGTAGCCCCATGGTTGTGGATGTCAAGCTGTGACGTGTCGGCGATTGCTAGCCTGCGGAGGACCCAAGACACAATAAGAGGAAAGAGCTGCTCGAGGAATGCAGGCGTGACAGGTCTGGATGAGGCAACACGGAAGGCGTAAGGTCGGCGCAGGGAATCGTCAGAGCAGGACGCTGCAGAAGTAGAACAACGAGCGGATGCAATTCAGAATCAGAAAAGGGCAGAGATAGGATGAAGAAGGAGGCAAGCAGACGCTAACATGAAGCCCCGAGCACCACGCAATGAACAATGAGTAATGAGCACTGGGTAACGAGCGCCAAGCCGAGTATCAAGCACCAGAAGCAAGCTAAGAAATAGGAAAGAGGAATAGGACCAGCAGAAGCAGCAGGCCTCCGAATCGTCACTGACGCGTCCGCAAGCCACATCCCCCCTTCGGGTTACCTGCTGCTCGCCTGGCGAGCGGGTCGTCGCTGGATTTAGCTGGGCTCATCAGTGGAGAGTAGCGGGGCGGGCCCGACGCAGGAGGCGGGAATACGTAGGCGAAATTCTGCAGGAAGGGTACCTACCTTGAAAGGGTAAGCAGTACCTTGGCAGAGTTCCCGTCGTAGACGGGATCCAGGCGAGGCAAGACGAGACGAGACGAGACGAGACGATACAGTACAAGATAAAGTAACGATAACGTGTATATACCCCTGCCATCCCGCCCTCACAGAACGTATACATCGGCACCCGCAGGGCAGCGATAACCTTTCGGGAGGCTTTGCATGTGTGGGCTATATCCATCGATTGCTCTGCTCGTTGCTTGTCTTCCCATGCCTCTTGAGCAGGGCAGCTGGGTACCGCTGGCAGGTACTCGGGGTACCCTATGCACAAGAAGAACGGCACATTGGAGCCGGCATTGCGCAACCCCCTCCAACTGATGACCCTGATGCCGTGGCCATGGTGCGTTGCAGTGAGCGTCGAGTGTGCCCGATGACGAAGCTTGCGGCGACTTCTCTGGCAGAATGGTCGGGGGTGGGGGAACATCATAACTCCTCTCTCTGGTGTGACCTGAATTCCAGTGGATCGCGACGCCAAGCTGAGTGTTCAGTTGTTTCTGTAGCACCTGATTCCATATTCACGCCCCCTGACACCCGCCTTCCGCCTTCGATGTACCTGGGCGTTTGCTATGCAGGGCCTCTGCACGGTCCAGGCCAATAAGCGACCGCACAGGCGAGGCTTAATAATAACAATAACAGGCATTTGCGGCTGATCTGCACCGCAATTCGGATGGTTGTGAGACGGTGGAAGGCAATGCAAAAAAGTTCTTTTTCTTCGGGTCGCCCTCGGCATGCTACACACAGGTAGGGGTGTTCATGACTAGAATTGGAGCATGCAATCAATCAGTATTAGACGGATCTCGCGCCAAGTCACCAGACTCCGATCTGGACTGGAGAACAGCCAGTTCGGTTGGCTCGGGGAGAGCGACGCGGCACCGACGTCACATCAAACCTTACTGACACGTTCTGTCTGGCTATCTGTCGCTGGCCCTTTTGTTGGACTCTCTTCCGTCCACCAGTCCACACGCGGCCGTCGTCACCCAGAGACATGTGCGTACTCCCCTCCTGTAGCTCGTCCCACACGGCAGCAGCAGCAGCGGCGGCGCCTCCGCTGCTTCTTTGCTTCGCCTTGCCAGGTAGTAATTGTGGAGGAGCTTAGGGGCTCACTCTAGGCACCTAGGTACCGGGTAACTAGGTCTGTTTCGGGAGGGGGCGCGCCACCGCCACAGCTCGCACATCGCAACTACCCCTTGCGGCACCTTACGTTCTCCCCTCCATGCTTGCGTCCTCGCCACAGTCCGCCCGCCATGAGTTTCAATGTGAGATGGCCTGAGACAACGGCCCCTTTTCGCTCGAGAATGGCACGAGTCGCTTGAATTACCATTTCGATAATTACGCTACATGGGGCAACGGACAACTCTAAATGCCGCTGGCGGAGGAGTACACTACTCAACGGGGAACTACGTGCTTCAACGTGCGCGACTTCGCCATGTGCCTGGTCTTGTGGCCTCTTCCGCATCAGTTCGCTCGGTCTTGGATCCATCGCCTTGGCGCCATAACACGATCCGAGGCTTCCGTGTTCGAGCACGACCCTTTGTAGCCGGTCCGGCAGGCCTTTGACCACCCAGACTTCAGATGCCTCTACTAGCTCACTTGCCGCGAGGCTACACACAACTGACAGTATCGTTGGCCTTGATCATACGTGCCACATCATGAGACGGGCATCACTCTTCACGGGCACCGATTGTTGCGACGCAGCAAGATACACATAGAAGCAATGAATTTCGCGAAGTCCGTCACAACAGCGAGAACAGCACTCCATGATACAACATGGTCCCCTTGCCTTGACAAAGTACTGATAGGCGCTCCTGGTCCTGGACGAGTGTAGTGCGAGTAGAGTAGAGCAGCACTGGCTTGACCGGAACGCCATGTTGATCAATAAAGATAAAGAAATGAGGTGGAATAGGAAAAATGTTGATCTGCTCACCCTTGGCTTCTCCTATCGCCGTGCCGCAGACTTGACATGCTGAAAGGAAGCGAAAAGAAATGGACATCGTTGAAACTAGTCTTACAGGGACGTTTGTGAACTCATTCGCTAGGAGGACCCATTAAAGCGACCTCAGCGTCTTTCAACATGGCACAACTTCCAGCCGCAACACATCAGTCCTCGTCGAAGATCTGGTACGTGTTCTGGAGAATGGTGTCGATCGCCTTGATCTGCCAACCCCGCGTCCGCAATGGCAGTGCTCGGATCAGTGCCCATCAGCGTCGGGCCAAAAATGACGGCCAGGTTGTGGCAATTCATCCGGTTGACATGCGAGTTGTCCATGACTCGATGAAGATGCAGCGCCAACGCTCGCAACGTGGCGTAGTTGGGGTCGGGCAGGCTGTTGATGATAGCGTGGAGCGAGTCCCTCCTGACAATGTCGTCTTCGTGTTCTATATTGTGTTAGCAAGCAAGTCGGGAGGCAAATTGACACACGAGAAACTCACTAGCTGCCTCAATGAGCGCCGTGTGCTGCTCCATAGTGAGAAGAGGGTCTGACAGGTCGCGGAGAAACTGCTTCAGCAAGCCTGTGACACTGTTCACGTCGTGGTAGAAGTTTTCTGGGTTGCGGAAATCCAATGCTGGGTTGCTCGAGTCCGTGTCAAACATGTTTTTGAGCTTGTTGATGTGATTCAGCGACCCCGATTGCCTGTAGATACCCTCTACCCCAAGGCCAAACAGATCGACTGCCTGGATGCACTGATAGACAACCATAGGCACCGCCAAACCGTCGCGCTCATAGAGGCGGTCTAGTGAGAGACCAAACACAGGCCTAGTGGGCATCGACCCCGCCTGCGCCGGAGGCGATTGTCGGTTCTGCGGAGGAGCGGGCTGCTGCAGAGGTCCTGGCACACCATAGCCCGAGCCCTGAGAGGCTGGCCCGTAGGGAGGATGTTGCTGTAGGGGATTTTGGCCTGGTTGCTGCCACTGCGAAGACGATTGTTGATGGGGCGAAGACGACATTTGCGCTTGCTGCTGTAAGGGAGGAGACTGTTGTGGCGGCGGTTGCTGTGGCGAGTTCTGGAACGAGAGAGCTCCAAGCTGCGGGGGTCCTTGCGAGTTTGTTGGGTTGTTGAACTTGGATGCAGGCAGAGCCGAGTTTCGAGAAGGCTGCTGGAACGACGACTGTTGCTGCTGAGCCTCATTTCCGTGCGACAGCATGTTGCCCTGGCTGAAGCTGCGGCCGTGAGCTGAACCCGACTGCTGCCCCTGGCCGCTGCTCGGAGGGGGTGGACCAGCACCGGGAGGAAAGCCTTGGCCAACTGATGCGCCACTCACTCCGCCGGGAACTGTCCCAGGAGGTCCGGTCTGCTGGAAGGTGCTCGTTCTTCCCGGTGCGACCGCTTGCTGGTGTCCCTGTCCTGGGGGTGTTCCCCCATACTGGCTTGGGGGCGGTCCTTGGGACTGCTGGCTGTTGGGCGCTTGCTGGGGACTTAATACTGGGTGGCGTTCATATTTGATCTCCCCGCTGCTAGGGGGGAGTCTGTTCTGCTGCCCAGCCACGTAATCATTGACGTCTCTGTCATTGTCAATGGCCATGACAGCTTCACGCAGACTACGCGCGCCGCTCGACTCTTGTCCAGTCTTGATGGGGCTGATACTGAGCCCGTTGCTCAGGAGAAGCTTCTCGTTGAACGAAGCTGCCACGCGTTAGAAGACGAGTACAGCGCTGGCGAGGAGAGGGCTCACCAAATTTCTGCATTTGCAAGGTGACTCCCGAGTCTGTTTCCGTCACAAGATCCCGTAAGGCGCGGATGGCCTCGGGCCGAGTCCTTGTCACCAGCTCATGCTTCTCCGACTGCAGATGCTGCACCTTGCCGTGGTAATCTTGGTCGGCTCCCTGGACCTTGCGCAGAAGGTCTTCTTCGTGTTGAGGTCCAGACTTGCTCTTCAGGCTGAACATCTTGCCGCTCTGACGACTGGTGTCGCCAGTACGAGCCCTGTCATACTCGTCGGCCAAAGAGTCGTACTTGGCTTTCGATTTGCGCAGCACCGTCTCCAGCTCTGCCACCCTCTGCTCTGGAGCCAGACCGTTGACCTTCCAGCCCTTCCTACTGCGCTCGGCAACAGCAGCCAGCTCGACCAGATCGTCATGCATCTGGTGCAGAGAAAGAGCAAATTGCATGCCGTTCTCGGCCATTCGTTCGTGAATGTACATCATTTCGGTATAGGCTTGAGCAAAAGTGCCTTGCTTATGGTCTGGTAGGTGCATGGTGTCGTGGCTCATGCGAGAGAGCTTCTTGAGGGAGGATGCATGCGTTTCTTCGATGGCTGATCTCTTCTTGAGGAATAGAGCGAACTCCTGTTTGTCCGCTTCGATTAGCATTGAAGTAGAAATCATTGAAGCCTTATCTGAGGCATCTCGCTCACCTTCGCAGAGGCAATGCTCGCCTTGAGCTGGTTCAACATGGTCGAGACGCCGATCTGAGCACTTCTGTCAGCTTTACCGAGTGCGCCGGTATTCGCGGGTCATATCACCTCCGAGGCCAAGACGGTCTGTACTTGGGCTGGCGCCTCCTTTCCTTGCGATGCGGATGGCTTCGGCGGCAGTGGGCCATTGCCATTGCCAGCGTTCTCTGGCGGCGCTTGGCCACCGTTGTGTGAAGCACTCGGTTGGGGCGGAGCGGCACTGTTCCCAACCGAGAGGCTGCCGGCGCGATCACGTCCCTGATTCTGAGGGAAGTCCCCGGAAGCGGGGGACTGGAAGTCGGCCATTCTTGTCGATGCGCCGCGTTGGCCGGAAGACGGAGCGCGCGTTGGTATTCAGAAAGGCGGGCGCAACAGCCGACGGATTTCGAAGGGGGGAAAGCGACAGGAGCTTCCGGCAGGGAGAGTCGAAAGACAGGGGTAAATCGGTAGTGCCGCTGTGCTTGTGCTCGGTATTCGGGCGATAGCGGGCCAAGAGGTCAGCTTGGGGACGGCGATATGTAATGTTTCAAGGCCGAGGGCCACGATGTCTTTAGTCTGAGGGCTGCAGACAAGGCTGATGGGTGGTACGAGACAGCGGGATGGCTGGTTGGCAGTTTGGATGGCTAATTGTAGAACGTGGAGACAGGTTGTCAGGGTCGAGTTGGCGTGCACGGTCTTCGCGATGATGAATGTGGGATGACGATGCTGGGGTGGCTGGTGCTGTGCCGTTGGGCGAATACGAAAGGAGCTGGCGGGGCTTGAAGCAAACAATCCGAGAGCTAGGATGGGGGCGAAGTCGTAGTGAGGTTGGCTGAGTGGGAAGAGACGACGCGTAACGAGAAGGCGATCAGCGGGCGAAAGAGGATAATTACTGAAGATGATGGAGTCGCGGCACTCGCACGTGTGATACTCAACCTGTTTGCCAGCGATGTACACACACAGTATCATGCATGCTTTGCGCTTTGAGGGAGGGGTGAGGGGGAGGGGATGTTTCCAGTGGCCACGCGCTCCCTTCTCTTAGGAGGAGAGGCGCATTGATCAGTGAGGTAGGTGCGCTACACTGTCGCCTGCCGCGGGAAAAAATCCCCCTTTCTGAGCTGTCGTCCCCGCCTACGGGCCAGAGCTACCCCCCCTGTTCTGTTCAGGGTCATGCTTCCCATTTCTTCTTTCATCTATTTGACCTCATGGAAGCATGGAAGCATGGAAGCATGGAAACAGCATGTGAGAATTGCATGTCAGTCATATACAACAATTCATGCCAGGCCTCAGGATTGATTTGTGATCGAAGCCGTCGGAACACCTGGGCTAACAGTAGGGCCATAACACCAACCCATGCTACCCCAGAGTCGGACGTCTGTCTGAGGGTGCCAGAAGGGGACTTGACATGCGTGCGATACATGGGGCATACGTGTTTGCGACGTGTGGAAGATCGGCGTGCAGGCGGTCAATAATTGATTGACGGCAGTGATTGCGGCGCATGCCACGTTCCTCTCCATACCTTCGGTCCAGTTTGGCGGCACAAATCTGTCTCCATCGCTGTTAACCACGCATGTGTTTCAATCAGATAGCCTTCGGAAAGCATAGTGATCAGTTCCCGCAAACTTCTGCCAATCAGTCATCATGACTCTGTCAAGCAACGTCTCGCCTATCCGGCGGTGGCTCGGCTGTCATCCCAACTCCGACAAAGCTACGCCAAGAAGTGGTCGATCATGGAGCCTCGTGTATCAGAGGCGTTTTCAATGGCACTACATGGTCATAATGGCGATCAATGGCTCGTCTAACAGTGTCACGAGGCAACGCAAACAGATTGATCCGGACAGGGTGAAACGCAACACGCCGTCTATTGCCCTTGCACCAACTCATCTCTCTGGTTCCCTATAGCCGGAAAGGGGGTCCCTCTTTCAACTCGCATAGTTATGGTCCTGAGCTCTCGTGCAAATTCGCCATGAATCTGACCACCCGGAAACGCAAACACCCAAACTCCAACGCCTGAACGCAGGCTTGCTGCAGATCTTTTCCCCCACCTGTCCTCGACTTTTTTTTCATCTTCGAGTCCACTAGTAGAACAAAAGCGCGAGAGGCTTCTTCTCGTCGACGTAGCGATCCTTGAACTCGTTGCGCGTCAGCCATTGGGCCAGCGGCAGCATCGTCTCCTTCATGTCCATGACGCCCCTTTTCTTCTGGTCAATGTGCGACGCGTCGACTACAATACGATCCAGCTTGGCCAAAGACAGCGCGCCTGTGCAATCGAGTTAGAGCTCCACCACCAGTGAAATGTGAAATGCTTGTGCAACGTACCATTGTCGACGAGGGCCATGAGCCTCGCCGGCGTGCCGACAGCGATACCGGTCCGCTGACTCTGGAGGAACTTAGTCTGCTCATCGACTTTCATGTGCTTCGCAAACTGATACGACGTTAGTGCCATGAAGTTCTACCAGCTTCCACGCGAGGACACCCACAAGCTTCGAGACGGTGCTCTCAGCGGTCTGAAACTTCCTTGTCGCCCTGTTCACCCAGATTGAACATTAGCGACCATCCCTCATGGAGGGTGGAGGAGGTGATGGAAGGAGGTACGCACCTCACAAGATCGGCCGCGCGTAGACCTGCGCCGGCAACGATGATGGTGTGCGGTGTGCCCTTGGCGGAAGGCGCAGAGCTCAGCCTCTCCGGCTTCTCAGCAAACTTTTCGAGAAACTCGGGCAGCTTCTCCGCAGTCCGGGGCTCATCCCATGACGTCGTGTCCCGGATAGCGTTGGCTATTGGCATGTCAGCAACATTGCATCTTTCCAGGTGCTCCCCGTCCCGTTCGTGGACACACTCACCAGAGACCGTCAAGTCAGACACCTCAATCGAGCTCAGATCCGATCCGAAGCGACTGATCTTCTGTGCCAGATAATCCGCGAGAAGCTGGCTGTCCATGACGGAGAAGGACTTGTTGAGGCCGAGGTCCATGTCGAGAAGTGAGTCGTCGACCTGGAACTTTTTGTGCTTCTTGGCCGCGGGGGGACCACCAGCATCTTTCTTGCTCTGGGCAGGAGCCTTGCGCTTTGTGCCGGCCATTTTGGAGGCGTTTACAGTTACCGGTATGCGAGCGAGTGTTACGCGTCTATGTTTGGTTGAAAAAGTTTTCGCGGTTGGGTCCAACGTCTGAGAGGTCGCGGATTGGTGATGGTTGTCCCCCGAGATCGAAGGATGGACGGTTGAGATGCAAACTCGTTTTTTTTGGCCAGGCCGTCGCGACGCGCTCGCACTGTCCGGGTCGCAGCTGGGATGTCATAGTGGCGGACTCGCACTCCAAGTGTCGGTTGCAGGGTCCATTCGGCCCCTCCACAGTGCTTCGGGTCACCTCGCACCTCAAGAATTCCACAAGCCAAAGAGACTCCAGATCAAAAAGATTCACATGAAGAAACCGCGCCATGCATTGTTGCGTCGTTGACTGAATCGCGGACGAGTGAACATAGTCAATCCATCTGTACGGAAACGACTAAAAAATTCCCTGAGAAAATCCAACACAGCAAGCATTTCAGCGGTCCAGAAAGCTTTGCAGGAAAGGTACGCAACCTTATACACGGTCAGGCCTAGTAGAGCTAATGGCGGTCTCAGCGAGTGGTCATCGTAGGAGGGTCTATTTCATCGCATGAAGTCCTGCATGAGATTCTCAAGCCCCAACGCAGCAGCTTTCAAGGCCTTGAGCATACCATGTTAAGGCATTGTGATCGTGAAAACGGAGACGGAAACGGAAAACGATATGAATGGAGAGGTCAACTCCAAATGTGCTGCTTGAAATAGGACTAGCATTCTCAGTACTGTGATTAAACTTGGGCTTAGCCACGCTTTGCTGGGAAACAGCGGGGTTTCGTACGCTGTCGTTTGGTGGGGAGGCCCACAGTATTGCCCCCTTGCGAGGTTGCTATTACCCCTAAAACCTGCCGGACCGACCTAGGTACCTACAGTAACCCGCGACTTCTCTCCACGATCCCCGCCATTCCGTGTCAAACGACAAGCCTCCCTGCTGCGTGATGAAATGTACTTACTTGCTCGGCGCGGTCTCTCGGCTTTCTGAAAGATGAGTAAATTCTCAGCTGAGCTTTTCAGCGACGTGTTTCGACTCTTACTAGCCCTCACCACTGGTTTTCGACCAGCGGTGACATCCATTTCGCTTCAACATACATGGATGGCCCTTGACTGAGCAGCAGATCTATCGTCGCAGCCATACCTTCTTCGGCTCAGTCAACGAAGATGCTATCCGGGCACTAGGGACTCAGCACTACATCGAGAATCTACAATGCGAAATCAAAGCTCGGTACCGGGGAAGTTTTAATAGCTGCTTCGTCCTCGAGTTCACCGATAGGTCTACGCGCATCGTACGAATTCCTCTTGAGCCAGCAGTACAGGATATATGGGATAAAGTACGAAGCGAAGTCTGTATAATGCAGTTAGTGTCTTCCAGTCTGAGACTCCCGTCTCACGCCTCAGCCTTACTCTAACACTCTCTTCGTAGATACGTCCGACGTAGTATAAATATACCTATCCCTCGAGTATACGCCTACAGGAAGAGCCAACTCTACCGAAATACATCAGAGCTTTAAGTCTTTATAATTATGGAACAAATAAAAGGCTAGCTACTAACCAGAAAAGCACTCGAGAATAGTCTACAACCTCGTCGTCGGCTATTTCTTCAGCAACTAGTTGACGTCTTTGCAGAACTTCGAAAGCTTCCTTTCACTCAGGGAGGCTCGCTTATGCCCAGCACTAGCGGGGGCATCGATCTCGAAAATCTACTAGATATTATTGGTGCTTTCTTAGTCCGTAAAAGCGAACTCTAGGCGGCCGGATACAAAGTCTCACGCATTTTGACTACTAATGCGAAAGAGTTCTTTAATGACCAGCTTCGCATCCTTCGGTATATATGGATATTGCCCTATAAAGACTTAGATCGTGAGTAAGCTGAGCGAGAGGAATTTGCCTAGTAATTTATTTTCAGCCAGAGGTACAGAACAGAATTGACGCCAACTCGGCCGCCCAGTCGTTCTTTTTAGCGCACCCCGACCTTCGCCTTGGTAATATCCTCGTTGACGAGGAGCTCAATATACGCGGTATTATCGACTGGGAGTATACGGCAAGTATCCCGTAGTGTGCCTCCACCCCCCCGATATGGATTACATGTAACGACTCAGGCCTAGCAGACCTACCCTCTGAGTTCGTATATGTGCTTTCTTCTATGAAAGAGAAATCGAGGTACCATTCTCAGCTTGCAGCCGAGTGCGTCTCTAGAGACCTCCTTACTTAGTCATTATCATATATACTTGTAGATCCTGCGGAGCTTGACTTTATCTTCTGGGAAAGAATTATGCTAAATATAACTGGATTGTGTGACATTCCTGTCTCTGATAGTGGATAGCTATAAGAAAACGTGGGTCGGCGCTTAGCGAAGTCGCAGCGCTTTGCTCAGTATCTCGACGAGAATAATCTTCATGAGGAAGGACGCGAGGAAGAGATACAGCGTTTGCTGCAGCAGTCTCAGGCTACAATTTCTGGTTTGAGAAATGGGACAGTCCCTCACCCACAATGACGACAAATCATGTCCCTCGTGTTTCTCGTATCATTGCGTCCAATTCAGCCATAAACTTCGCTTGAGCCTCATCATCCATGACTGAGCAAGACTGGAGTTATATATGTTAGCTACTAATAATAAAGCATAAGGACAAATAATCACCAACCTGAGAGATACAAAGCGGGGGGTGTATGAGTGAGAGTCGGAGGAAAGTATGAACTCTGCTCCTCAAGGCCCGCACGCTCTTACAGAGGCCCTCGTTTCGATGATCACAAGACCCCGCAGTCTGCTCAGTGCACGTTCTCATTCGGTGCGCGACATGTATGGCAGCCCAAATTAGGTACACTGCATTGTGAATCTCACTGCAGGTAGAATATGGGCGACCGTTCCAGTGCCTTATCGCTTGAATACGGCTTCTACGGTGTAAGGAGTGACCCATCCGGATACCTCGTAACCGGATGAGGTCGGTTCTGGATGATCTACTAGCCATCTTCTCACCTGATATTCTCGATGGTAGTCTGAAAGGGGCTTGGAGTGTGCACTGAGCTTCCTACTTCGAGATCGATTAGACGCACAAGAATATATCCGTCTGCCGTGAGGATATCGCGGCCTTATTGGGTCTATGATATCACGACGGGTGCGAGTCGCCCTCTAATCTTGTGACCTAGAAATTGGGTTGCTGTGATGCGATGCGAACGCGTGGTGGCGCCAGTTTTCTGTCCCTAGATATATGGTTACGGCCTGACCGCAACGGTTGACGGACGAGACATAGGAAGGGTCCTACGGGCACCCGAACGACAGGTAATTCTCCAGAACAACAAGCACCGGATATACTCGCTAGAGTGTCGACCGTCAAGCATGGGCCGCTCTATAGTGCTTTACCTCGAAAACATTTAGCCTGCAATGTCGTCTCATAAAGCACCAAAAACTATGCTAGTTCGTGTCCAAATCAACTTGGGCTCTTCAGTGCTCCCAGCTAGCTGTACGTGGGGGTGGGGGATGGGGGGGGTTCCACGTTCCTAAAAATGGGGCACCTCTGTCCCAAAAGGGCACTTATGCATTCTTAGTGCAAACCCAAAATCTTTTTTTCCTAATTGACGGACCGCCAGCGCTTTGCCAATCGTGCGATAACGAGATCTGTCGCAAACCCAGACCGTGCTGTTGGAACTCCTTGCACGCTTTTTTCTCTCCATACCACCCTGGCTGAAACGCACGACTTGAAATCAGACCCAAGATACACAATGGCCGAGAAGCGCAAGCGCGACGGGCACGGCGAGGGCGGCAAGGCCAAGCGCAGCAAGTCCATCAAGAAGGCCACCGCCGAAGACTTCATTGACGTCCCCGCCGACTTTGACGAAGTCGACACACCCGCCAAGAAGGATAAGAAGGAAAAGAAGGACAGAAAGAGAGAAGGACAGGGAGAGAAGAGGACAGGAGAGAGAGGACAGAAGAAAGAGGAGAAAAGGAGAGAGGAAAGAGGACAGGCCGCGAAGACGACGAGAGCCCCGAAAAAGAACGAGGGGCCCCGGTCCAGAACCCCCTTGTGGACACCCGACGCCCGCGAAAACAAACCGCCCAGTAAAAAAGGCCCAAGAAGGAGCAAGAAGGCCGCCGGACCCACCCAGGGCCCGACCCAACAGAGGCAGCAGCCCCCCCGCCGGAGCCCGTTCCGGAGCGGCAGACCAACGTTCAGA